GTTTTTAGCTTCATCATTTTTGATCAGTTCAGAATATATGGGGATGGGGAGGGGGCCTTGGTGGCAACTATGAGGTGAAGTCATTCTTCACCTCAACAATCCACTTCCTGTCTGCATGCCAGCTACCAGTTGGTGTGCATCCTGTTTTGAAGTCCAGGGCATTGCAATATATTTGAGTGTACATTTTGAACAATTAATCAGGCCAATAGGGACTGTTAAAAATCTTTCTTTCTAGGTATGGATGAACATGTTCTTGAGATGTATCTACCAATGGTGGAGTAATCAGATCCCTGCCGGTATCATGCCTCACAGCTCCATCTATGACCTTTGTAAATATAGCCTGGCCAAGCCAAACACCTGTGAGCTGTCCGTCAGAAGCACAGAGACGGCTACAGGCAGCGAGAGCATGCGCCACAATATTAATAAGGTCACAGAACGTTGTGCTGTCCCTGCAGCCATGTGGCAACAGTCTACGGCACAGTCACATGTATGACCTTTGAGCAGACTCTACGCACCATGAGATGCTGGGGTATCATATGTCATCAAAGGACATAAATATACGTTTTCATGATATAATTATTTTACACTGTGGCTCAGGATAAAAATAACATTCTCCGCTATGTTTGCAAATACTTGACTGTGGTTCTAAAAGACGCAGTGAAGCGTTAAGTGACGGTGCGAAACGTCGCAGTTTTACACACGTGGTCAACATGTGACATAAACGTGAACATTGTGAATTACTTGGTTAAGTTTAGGCAACAAAACTACTTGGTTAGGTTTTGGAAAAAAAAATCATGATTTGGGTTAAAATAAGTATTTAATTTGTTGATAATTTGTTACGTAACTATGTACGCAAGTTCACTTACAATAAGTCAACATGTTAACTTTGGTTTCACAACTAAATCATGGGTGAAAGTTCTGTGTTTGTTTGGACCATCCATCCACCCCAACCTCTTCCCTTAGCGGACTTTGTCACACTTTATACACCGGACTTCCTCCTTTGCTCCCGTCCCGTCATAATTACTACGGCCACTCAAGATTGCAGCCCAACAATTTTCAAACTACCTGCGTTGATCCAGCTTACCATCAGATGAAAACAACCTACTGAGCCAATTAGTAGGTAGGGTAGGGCCATACCACCTCAAACCTATGCTCCCAATGACAACTGATAACGGCCCTTTAATCTGTTGGTAACATTTGAGCTGGTCAGTAATACATGAAACAACCTTTGTGTCTTGATCATTTACATCCAGTTTATACTCATGTTCAAACTACACTCACTACTGTTCATCTAAACCATGTGTAATTGCCTTTTTACAATATTATGTACACAGACTACTTTATCTTGTAGCTCTTCTTTTTTTCTCACTATTCCCGTTTTTCTATTGGCTGCTTTTGAAATACACTGTTTGTGCCTCGAGTACTCCATTATTAAGTTTTGCCTTGTAAATTTGATGCCATTGCCTGTTTACACATCCAGTATATAAGAAACACTATTAGCATTCTTTTGGAATGATATTAGTCCAGTACTCACTTTTACTTTTATTGCTTTGTTCATGTTACCAAAATATCCGTCTCTTTAGCGGCTTAATGCTACACTATGTTGACCTGTTTGGTACTGGATGGGTAGCATCAGAGCTTTTACTGTGAAAGCTGCTGTAGCTGCTGCTGGAAACCAAGTTGAACAGAAACAGTAAAGTTGAGGGCCATTAAAACCAAAACAACCAGCTAAAAGAAGCTAAACCATTCCTTCACCATATTGTTGTCTCACAGATATTAAGGGTATAATTGTTCATACATATTTCTCCTTATAATAAACTACAAGTGATGCTTTTCACATTACATATTGTAATTTAACCTATTGTTCTCTTAAAAATATTGTTTAGTGCAGCTTTAAAGTTAGGAACAGTGGTAGTGTTAGGATTAGCAGGGAGCTAACAGTTGTACTGTTACGGTTAGCTGTATACTCACTTCGCTTGAGGCAACATGGTTGTGTCCCAAAGGCACAAGGCAGCCGGGGACAACAGTTGTCCGTGGTATGTGACACGGTGTTTGACCCAGCTCTGATGAGCCTGGTGACCGGCCATCACAAGGCTGTCATGATCATCAGTCATCTCTGTGTCTCTGCCTCAGCACAGCGCTACAGACTGTTGACTGGAGGACGAGGACATAAGAAGGCACTCAAGAATGACTCAGCTGAAAACACAACACCAACAAAACAATTGATAAACCCCCATCTCCTGCTTTATGACTGTAACAACTTAAAATCCATATTTGTTGTCTAAAAAAAAACTTCCCCCGGCTTAGCTGGTTTGCTGCTTTTACTTCCAATTTTCCATATTTTTACAAACTGTAACCAACAAGTAGTTGGTTTAGTCTAGTTCAGTATAAAGATGGGAGCAGGGAGAAACAGTTAGCCTAGCTTAATCAGAAGTGAAAGAAATAGTTTCAAAGGGTAAGCCGACTCTTCATTCCTCTCCCCTGCCTTCAGTCTAAGCTAGAACATCCTCGACCTCTCAACATTAGCAAACCGCTCAAAATGTCAGTGTTTCTTCGAATTAATAGTCCATCCAATTGTCCCATGGTACCTGCATGTGGTTGTTGCTAATTTAACTGCAGACTTGAAATTGAACTATTAGAGTACTGTAGGCTGCAATAAGAATGGAGGCGGTTGTACCCTAAACTTGTTGCCCTGTCTTGTAGCAGTTTCCTGTGTGAAAATCTAGTTTGAATACCTTTATTATTCTGATTTGCATTATTATATCTTTGGGGCCAGGTACAATTGATTTAGGCTGATAACATCAGTGTTGTATGCATTAATTCATATTTGCATGTGATCTGGACTGAGACTGAATAAATGTCAGTCAGTGCTCAAGGTGAAACAACCCTCAAGTGCTCACTTTTAACATTCAAAATTAATATTGAAAAGTTGATTTATTAGCCTCAAGGCTTTCACTGAATAATTGCAATAGTGACAGTGGTATAACTATTTTTTTACAAGACGCATTATTACACACTACTAGGAAATATGTGTAACCCTATAATCTAAATGTATACACTTGACAGGACAAGGAGGTGAACTTACAAGATTGATAACTACATACATGGGTATAAGCGATTGTGTGTGTGTGTGTGTGTGTGTGTTGGTAGGGATGGGCGAGGGCTGGCAGTGCTGGGCACAAGCTCAGATTGACGGTGGCTCCCTCCCACAGTCCTCTGTGCCTTGTACAAACACAGCCATAGTAGGAGAAGGGAACACACAACGGGCCTCTGTTACGGCTCCAAGGAAAGCACTCTGCACCTTCAGACGGTTCATTAAAAGGAGCATTCAATCCAAATCACTTCAAAACAAAGCAGAGGATCTGTGGAGAAGAGTGAGGGAGGTCAATCTACAGCGATTTTGATTTTAGGGGAACTTCTGGATTTCTGAAGCTGTGTTTCTGTCCATATTTAAAGCTTGGGAGCTAAAAGGGAAACTCCACTGATTTTACATATTCAAGTGTGTTTCCATGGGAAGTACTGTTAATGAGACACAAAAGTTGTATAAAGCCCTCAGTGTCTCCAAAGGGAGTTGTGTGAAGTATTTTAAAAGTCCTCAAGTGATGTCACTTGAGTCTGTTAGGTTCAAGAACCTCTCGAAACTATGGGAGAAACCACACTTGGTCCAGCCATGCCAAAAAGTCAGCCGGTTCCAATTATAATCAAAAGTATTTAATACTACAGAAGCTAAAACAATTGCAAAGTGAAGTACATTATTTACAGAATCTATGGAAATATTTACAGTATCAATATAGAAATATGATCTGCGGAAAAGCAGCCATACACACCACAGCCAGGAAGCTGGTTACCTGCCTGGATGAAATGAGATGAACAGGCCGAATCCCCTCTCAGAATTTCCTTATATAGTTTGTAAAAATTCACAAAATGTCCGCCTTTGTTTCTATTGGCTAAATCCAGCTAGCTCCTCCTTCTCGCATCAGCCAGCTGGAGGACCCTCGCGCAGGTGTGATGTTCCTTCTGCGTGTCCCTGTAATGCCTGTTTAGAAATCTTTGTCTGACCCTTGGCTATTCTTCACAGTTGAATACATTCAATGACTGTCTTTTATGGCTCAACACTTCTATGGTAAATATACTGTAAACATACCATACATCCGATAAGAATCTGCAACTCTGGCAAAGTCTTTGACAAGCTTTACAAGCATATTTGGTATAACCCAAGTACTTGTTAACATTTTACTAACCACCTCTAAGGTGCTATAAATCCTACTAGAAACACTTCTAATTACAAATCCTAAAACACACTTCTAAACCTAAATTTCCTACAGTCAGCATCAGTTGGGTCTGAAGAATACAAGTTTGAAAAGTAAAAAAAATCTGGAGGTGTGGAGTTAGAAAGAAGTGAGTTTAGCAGACCTCTGTAGCTGCTCATCTCCGCTCGAACCTTCAGGCTACGTTAGCCACTACTAGCATAACACCCCCATGCATCTCAAATAAAACTGGATACAGCGCTGGAGGCGGGGTTCTGTTCTTAATATGAAAGTTGCTCAAAAAAAAAAGTTCAACTCAAGAGTATAAAATGACCCAGATCTTCTGCCGATCTTCCGTAAAGAGCATGCTCACTAGCGTTTCCTTTAACCCCGCCTCCCAGCCACGCTGTCTCAGGCTCACTTGCAGGAGGAAGAAAAAGAACTCTGGATTTAGCTATTAGTGCATTTTACAATTTTTAAGACCTAATGATATAAATAAGGTATATTCAAGAGTTCAAGTGATTTACAAATATCTATTCCCCAATGTAATTCTACGGGGGGAAAGTATTTTAGGCCGAATAGCATCTTGTGACTGACCCGGAAATTGTAATTCCACATTCCATCCACAATGCCACGATGTATAGTTTGCTTAAAAAAGCCCCGTGCTCTTCCTGGGGGCTTGAACAAGCCCAAATCTCCCACCCAGCTGTGAACCGTTGACGTGCATTTTGACAAGAAAAAGAATGTCTGGAATAAAAAAAACAAAATTAAAAAAAAAAAGATGAGATCTCTGGATCCGCTGCATCGATTCTTTAATCAGTGTGGGACTCTGCTTTATTACAACATGAAGTATGATAACACTGGACTCACCGAAATAAATACATCCGTTGCTACAATGAAATCTGATGGGATTTGGAGGTCACACTGAAGTCAACAAACCTGAAATGTTTGATGTATGTGTGAAATGTATCCAATCCATGATTTGGATCCATTCCAAAATTGAATGGGTTCCTCCTTGGTCCATGCTACACCCTTCCACCAAATTTCATGAGAATCGGGGCTGTTGTTTCTCTGTAATCCTGAAGTCAAACACACACGCACATAAAAAACAAACACAACCTCCTTGGTGGAGGTAATAACGGAGTAAATTAAAAAGGCAGAGTTGGAGAGTTGTTTGAGAAGAACCTGGTTGTACAAACAGCGTGAGGCTCAGTTTGTGCTGGAATATTATATGTGTCATTCAGCAGCTTTTATCTGACATCCAAACATATTAATACCAACATAGGTAAGGGGCACAAATGTAAATAAAATAAAGAATTAATGATGGATTCAGTGTGTAAATCTGCCCATGCTGTTTCTTAGTCTTCACACAGACCTGCAGCTGGACATTAGTTATTAGTGACATCTTGTGGTCACTTGTTGTACCTGCTACCTGCTCATTTAACAGGGAAGTATCATGACAAATTCTGTTTCAGTGTTTGTGCACACATTTCTCACATATCCCACTAACTGTGAAATAAGTCTGTTTTTTGTTTCACCATCAGAAAACATGTGACTCAACAAGCCATTTAGATGTGGTGTCTGTTCACCAACGTTAAAAAGGACATACTGTGTAAATGTTGTGTTTTTTCAGATTGTTCTACTGCCCCCATGTGGCCAAAAATGAATGCATCTGACATCCAGTAATCCAGAAGGCAGTGAAGAGAAAACGAAAAAAAAGAAACACTTCTGACTTACACAACGTTGCAAGTCAGAAGCTGGTGGGCCGTAGACGGTCTGGGGTCCAGCTGTGAAGGTCAGGGTGTTTCGGGAGTTGAGGTTCTGGCTCTGTGTGCGAAAGCGGGGCCCGTCAGCTCTAGTGGAGTGGAGATGGTGCAGATGGACTGGGAGTACTGAGGCTCCTCACAGCTTTCTTCACCAACTGTCAGTTCACTGAGGTGGACACCTTCCAGCTCCGCATAATGCGGACCAGAGAAGAGCCTTATCACCGCACAGACCCGGGGAACCTGCAGGACAGTATCCTTGAAGGTGATGATCACCACCAGGCCCACCAGCAGGTAACCTGTGGAGAATGTCCAGCCTGTCAACATGTTATATTATGTTGACATAATATAACCATATGTCAACATATAGTTATATTAAAAAATATATTTTCAAATGTGCTTTTAAAAAATATTGTATTATTACAATGGTGGAGTTATGTTGTACAACCATGCACAAAATGATATGCGTTTTTAAGGCTAATTCTGATTGCGTGGAATGTGCAAAAAAATAAACAGCATTCACATAATCAAGTGGTCAAATGAAAATTACAGAATATATGAGTGAACAATTAAATGAATAAAGAAAATTATTTTAAAATGATTGTCAAAAAAAGTAATTGGGGAATTTAGACTCCAGGATTACTTCTAAAATTCTGCCAATGGGCCTGAAAGTGCCTCGTATGTAATTCATTCCATGAATGGTGACATTTCATTTGTTAGAGCCTAGAGCTGTCATACACAATAACATTAATGGTTTTAGTGCTGATCTTTTCTTTAAGCTGCATCAATCTTATTTCGTTTAGTTTTTTTGGCCAGTTTGGGGCAAACTCAGACATTTAAGTCCAATATTGACTCTCCTTTTAGCTCTGTTTTTTAGTCTCCACCACCTCCTGGGAAAAATATCTGTCTCTTTAGCTGCTAAATGCTTCATTATGTTCACCAGCTGGTCTCTAACTGTGTCTGTCTGATATTTGGTGCTCAGCAGGTTGAGTACAGTGGCTTTATCAGAACCTTTTAGCTAAAAACAGCTGCCTGCTGCTGCTGGAAAACACATTTGTTTGAAGGCCAAAACAAGCTAAAAGAGGCTAAAAATCTCTGTTGTCTCTTAGCTGCGGCTGAGTGGTGGTGAGGTACAGCAGTGTGTGTACTGGTAGTTCAGTTAGCTGTTAGCCAAACACACCATCCAAAACAACAACAACAACAACAACTACTATTTATTCCCCCACTGTGTCTCAGAGTAGCAGATGGGGGTCGGAGATGCACTTAGCCGTGTTATCACTAGCGGCCCCTCCCAGCCAGGGGCCAGTTAAGCGAGAAGGAGGAGTCAGCAGGCAGTCAGTGGAAGTATAAATCTGTCAATAAAAGGTGTTTTGAGAAAATGTGAGTCAGCGCAAACACAAGAGGCATGCAGCCATAACTGGCCACCGAAAATATGATGCAGTTTACTGCAGCAGAATGAGAGATTAGCCGTAGATAGACACATAGGTGCACACTCACTCACGGACACATGCACGCAGACACGCACATGAACTCCTGGCAGAGATAAAAACTAACATAATGCAATAGTTTATAAAAATGAGCCAAGGAGATACTCCAACTCCTCACCACATGTAAGTGCAGATGTGCACTTACATGTGGTGAGGAGTTGGAGTGTCTCCTTGGCTGACGGCTCCCAGTTTCTCCCCAGAGAGTTTCGTCCCTGGCCAACGGTGCTCAGGACGACAAAGCAGAAGAAAAGAGCATCCAGGAAGCTCCAGTCGGGCTCCATTGCACAGACCAGGAGGGCCGGGAGGAGGAAAAGGAAGACGAGGACGAGCACGGAGAGGAGGCCGACGTGGACGAAGGTGGCCCGGGTGTAGGGCAAACCCCAGTAAGTGTGCAGGTGGTGGACGGGAGCGTGGGTGACCGTGGGGAGGAGGAGGTTGGAGAGGAGGGTGAGGAGCAACAGGGTGAGGGGGATCCCCAGGGCGCAGTAGAAGATACAGAAGAGCTTGGCTTTGTCTGATTTGGGGGTGTAAGAGTCAGAACCTGAGGAAGAAAAGAGGGAAGAGGTCTACAGGGAAGATAGCACGAGTTGTCGCAAATACATTGGTACCCTATAAAGAAGGGATGTGGTACAGATAGACCACAATGTTTTGAAGGTTATTGCTGCAAACATAGCCTGAAAATATTCAAGCAAAAAAAATCAGCAATCCTGGTTGACCAATGTGAGGATTTGCTGCTTTACATCACTGTGATAAATTGTGATCAATATAAAAAGTTGCATCCCTATTTTAAATCTCGGCAGGTTTCTTGAGTGGCATACCCATGGTGGTCAGAGTGACGATGACAAAGTAGAGCGACGACACGAAATCATAGCGTCTCTCATCGGCGTCGGCCTTCAGAACCGCTACGTCGCTCTGGTGAGCGGAGAGAGCGTTCCCCAGCAGCTCGCTCAGCCCGCTCTCTCGGACGCAGGGGTTTTCCCGCAGGAAGGAGCGACGCAGCTCCTCCACCTCGGCCCTCAGCTCCACCTCCACGGGCTTCTCCACCACCGTGAACACCAGACCTCCCAGCAGAATGAAGAGCAGGTAGCAGAGAAGCAGGCAGGCAAACGCATTGACCTGGCAGAACAGTCCCAGCGAAGACACGAGCTGGACCATTGTTGTGTTCCTCTCCAGACTGCAACCAGATACTGAAAGCTAGTTAGGCTTTAAATATTTAGAAAGGTAGAGCGGTTCACCATGGATGGATTACTGAACGGGTCTACTGGGCTAGAGGCCAAGGGGGCCTAAAGTGTCAGGAGCCCCCCTGCCCTTCACAAAATGTCACTCAAAGAGAAACACACCAACCAAGAGACTCAAAATGACCACAAAGAAACACAAAACTACAAAGAGACACAAAACAACCTACACAGGAGATGCAAAACAGCTGCAAAGAGACTCACAATGACTGAGACAGGGCAAAACGACCAGACACAAAAAATCACTAGTGACACCAAAGCAACTACCAAGAGCTTCAAAACAACTACAAAGAGACGCAGAACTACAAAGAGACTCAAAACGACCACAAAGAGACGCA